CTCAACTCTGGGTTGTCAGGGATTTGAATTACTAATAAAATTTGCTCGAAGCCAGTTGACATCTGTCCCACTCAGATTAAATATTTACCTTGACAGACAATCTGTTGAAGTTGGAAGACGTGAGCAGCAAGGTAGTCTACTGCTAGTGTGGATACATCCACGTGAGCAGCATGCCTGGCAAGTCTAGTCTAGCTGTGCTGTGAACTGTCCACCAACGGTCTAGCTAAACAGCAGCAAGATACTGTAGCTACTGTAGCTAGTTCACTTGTTTGCTGTCTAACTTGGAGCCTTTGGAGCCCTGTGTTCAACTTTTTTCAAATGAAGAAGAGGAAAAAAAAGCTAGGGACATGTAGGCTACCCTAAAATATTATTTATTGATTCAGATTTAGATTCAGACAACTTTATTGATCCCACGTGAGGCAATTCATTTGTACCATACTCATCCCAAGCATCAACCACAACAACATACAATTTCCTATGTTATGCACAGTCCACTAAAACAGACCACTAGGTCATTGAAGGGCACATTGAAGTTTTAAAAAACATATAGACATAACATATAGATAAAAATATTAAAAAACAAACAAACAAAAAAAAACTTTCTTGTGGAGATAGCATTTTGAGTATTTTAAATACAAAATTACTCCACTCAAAAGTATTTTGTTACAAATTACATTTGCTTTTTATCGGCCTTATCAAATACAAATTACAAAATACTCAAATGTAATTGAAATATGTATTTTAAATAGAAGTAATAGAAATACTGCCCATCCCTGCCTGCACCCTGGCTACCTCACGACTCACAAATGATTCATCGTTCACACAGACCGAGATGAGAGCAGCATGGCAGAAGCAGTCAAGCCAGGTGCTGGCAGGACAGGTGCAGTGCTGGCGTTTTTATTTTATGGATTAATTTTAAGTGTGCTAAAACCTGCCGATATTAATCCGTCAATAAAGCTGGTTGACAAAGCGCACCTACACAGAGACTTTTACACCGAGAGAAATGGGATTGGCCAAACAAAGAGCAAACAAAAAATCCATACCACACTGAACTTCAGATTTGGCAAGCATACCCTGGCGTCGACTTTCATCCTTCCTCAGCTGCACAGTCATATAAAGAACATATAAACAGATTTTGCAGATTTTTCTCCGTTCTCAAGCGACAGAGGTAATTATCGCTCCACTCAACATGGTTGCATGGACAGGGTCCGTGAATCACTAAGCGGTCCATCTATTCTGTCGGTGCAACAAACTAGGCTACTCATTTTCAATGTACGCTTGCTACGAAGGGCGTCTGGAGTGTTGGCAGCAGCGAGCAGCGCGATGCCAGCAACCGGAGCGTCACTGTGAAGTTGAGAGAAGCTCAACTTTATGCAAATGAGCAGCGCCGCCGCCGAAGCAGCAGCGAGGAGCAGCCAATTGCAGACCGTGAATATTCTCAAGGACGGACAGTGAAAGAAAGAAAGAAAGAAAGAGATCTTCTGCAGCTTGAAAGCCCCGCCCCTTGGCAGCCTTCTGCAAGCCCTGCCAGAGCTGGCAGGCAGCGCGATGCCAGCGAACTGAGCGGCCGCTGGCGCTCATGACGCTTTTGGAGTGAATGCACAGTAGGGGACGATCACACAGAAATGAGATGCTAGAGACGCGGACGCTTCAAAGACGCTTGAAACGCTGGAAGCGTTTATTCAATGCGCGCTAGACAAAAAAAAACAGCAAGGAGTGCCTGTGGAGCGGGGTGCGTGCGCAACACACACCTCCTGTCATCTCTTTATGTCTCCCCTTGAATATAGTGTTTCCCTCAAAGACAGTAGAGACAGTACTAGCTTACGTGAAACTATCACGAACTATCAAATCAAATCCAACGTTGTTTATATAGCACTTTTCATACATAAAAATGCAGCACAAAAATTGTGAACTACGAAATAAGGTCACCAGCCCTCTCACATATCCCACTGTCTGAAAGTTAACTAGCTGCTATGCGTCATCAATTACATTGTACTCACCAGACAAATTCGTTGCGCTGCTCACACAGCTCCATGTGTGTCTCCTCCTGTGTTTGTTCGAGTACTGAGGTGTGCGTGTGTTGTATAATTCTTAAAAATCAAATATTGTCAGGATAAATTTCTCGTCTTCGGATTGCATTGTGTTGTCTGTCGCTCGTAACTGCCGTAAACTGCCGTAACTGACCAAACTGCCGTAACTGCCACAACAAAACAGGAAGGAGGATTTGATTGGCTGCCTGGGCCAATGATGATAATGACGAATGGTGCTACTGGTGTCTGACGCTCAAAAAGTTGAAAATATTTTAACTTTTCAGTGTCTACGTGTGTCTAAAAAGAAGCATCTACAAAACGCGCATCTAAAAAGACCCCGGAAAAACACCCGTCCAAAAAAGACACTTGAACGCTGGTCAGACGCGTTGTATCATAGGAAAACAATTGTTTTACTGGCGTCGCGCTTCTAGCGTTTTATCTCTGTGTGATTGCCCCTAAGCTGTCACCGGATCAAACTGCAAACACTGTAAAAATGAAGTTTGGAAACTTTGCGAAATCCATGCCAGACAACACACCGCACACTGTAAAAAACAAGGTTCCAAATACAGCGATCTCGAAAAAACGGAAATTGAACTTATTTCAGACTGTCAACCACTCAAGAATAATTAAAGCCAAGGGACATTTTAAGAGGACACTTGAATATAAGAAGTTTTAAATCTAAAAGTGATCAAATTCATCAGCTATTATTGGACTCCAACCTAGATTTCCTGTGTTTATCTGAGACATGGCTTAATGAAAATTCACCACTGTCAATATTACATGTTCCTGGGTATAACATTTATAGGAAGGATAGAGTAGGCTCAAAGGGTGGTGGAGTTTTAATCTTTGTGAAAGAGAGTTTTCAGTATCATGAAATACAGTGGTCTTGCAACGAACTGGAGTGTATTGGACTTAATGTGACTTTGTCTCCATCTATGTCTTTCTCGCTTATTGTATTGTATTGCCCCCCCCCCCCCACCCCCCACCCCCCTTCCAATAATACCTTTTATGAACATTTTGAAAATATGCTAAAGGAATGTAATTTTCATAAGGAGGTCATTCTCATGGGAGACTTCAATGTTAGGTGGGAAGTGAAATCATCAAGGAAATCTTTACAACAGATCACTGATCATTTTGATCTTGCACAGCTGGTAAAAGGTCCTACAAGAATTACAAAAACCACCAGCACAAAAATTGATCTTATTTTTAGCAATAGGCCAAAACGAATCAATAAATCCTTTAATATGCTGACTGGACTATCGGACCACAACTTGACTCTGATAGCGAGGAAGCTAACCAAAAAGCATTTTATTCCATTTGTCCAAGAACAGAAATCTTTGATTATTCCCAAAAAGATGCATTTGAAAGTGCTGTTCAAAACATTGATTGGGAGGCTGTACTGATGGGAAATTCTTTGGAAGATGACAGTCAAAGATTCATGCAAAAACTACAGAGTACAATTGATGACTTTACATGTAGACAAAGACGTAGGAAAAGAAAGAACATAATTCCTTGGATCAATACAAATATCCTAAATTTAATGAAAAAACGAGATATGGCTTTAAAGATTGCTCTTAAATCCCAAATGGGGTCATCCCTATATTCCCTGGGTTCTATGTTCCCCGGGTTCTATGTTCCCCAGGTTCTATGTTCCCCGATTGGGGAACATAGGACCCTTTAAAAAAAAAAAGGGTCCTATGTTCCCCGCTTTCCCCAAAAGGAAATATGTTCCCCGCTTTGTATGGGACGGGGAACATAGAACCCTTTTTAAGAAAAAGGGTTCTATGTTCCCCGCTGTTGCCGGGGAACATAGGACCCTTTTGAGAAAAAGGGGTTAGGGGTTAAAGGGTTAGGACCCTTTTTTAAAAAAAAGGGCCTATGTTCCCCGGGTCCTTTTGGGGAAAAGCGGGGAACATAAAACCCGTATTATTAAAAAGGGTTCTATGTTCCCCGGTCCCATACAAAGCGGGGAACATAGCACCCTTTTGGGGTCCCATACAAAGCAGGGAACATAGGACCCGGGGAACATAGAACCCGGGGAACATAGGTACGCTCCCAATCCAAATTAAGCACTGACAGATATACTTTCACCAAGCTTCGTAAAAAGGTAGTCAAAGAGCTGAGGACATTACAGGCAAACTTTTTTTTGAACATAATAGAAAAAGCAGTAGGTAATACAAAAAATATTTGGAACCAACTAAGAAAACTAATGGGGCAAAATTTTAATAATACCAAATCAATTGAAATTTATGTTAATGGAATACTCTTGAGCAACCCAGCTGAAGTAGCAGTTGCTCTCAATCACCATTTCATTGATTCAGTAGATGACATTATCAAGTGCTTTTCCCCTAAGCACATTATTCCCAGCCAAGTCAGACATACTGAACCAGCTTTCAATCTAGAAACTATTACAGAGTCAGATGTCATGAGAGTGTTTGGATCTCTTAGGTCCTCCAGAGCCAAAGATGTCTTTGGTATGAACACAGTTATGCTCAAAGGGCTCTCTGCATCCCTAGTATGTCCTATTACACAAATTGTAAACCTTGAGATGAAAAAAACAAACAGCTCGCACACTGCAGGGCTCCAGTGCTGAAGTTTTAATGAAGTGACGTTTCGAGCGTTATGCTCTTCATCAGACTAACAAAACAGAGGGTGCCGCCATCTTAAATATACACATGATGTGGTCACGTGATACACTGATGTGTTCAAGGAAAGGAGAAAGAAAACAGGTAACCTAACAACTTTAAAGAGAAAATGTACCTTGTTTCATAATATCATAGGGCACCACAATGTGTATGTCCTTAATATGGTAAAGGAATAAAGGACAAAGATTCGTAGGTGTGCACATGCATACACACAAGCCTCACAATCAATGTAAATACGTGTGAGCATCTACACACAAGTGAATGGACCGTAAACATATCCTATAAATAAATAGAGATATGTACAAAAAGACCATCAGTNATATAGACACACTCAAACAACAAAACACATACAGTGTTGGATAAACAACACGGGGTAGAGTGTCTGACACAACATCAGGCCAATAATTCATCATAAAGGACAGAACACTACTGAGGTACCTCAAAGTACAGTGATGTGCAAAAGATAACAAAACACCATATAGAAAGCAGTAAGTAGCAAAAACATGCAATCAGAGGAGCATAACCACAGAATGTCAGTCAGAGGAATTACAGGAAAGGTCGGATGTCCATCTCCTCGTTGAGATCCCTAGGTGACATAGTGTCCAGGGTGTAAATCCAGAAAAGTTTGCATTTTAAAAGGAGATTATTAATGTCTCTGCCTCTCCTAGGAAGTTGAACATGTTCGATCCCCAGATAGCTCAGGGAGGCCACAGTGTGATTCAAGAGGTTAAAATGATTGGCCACAGGGCTCCTTTGGTCGTGATTCCTGATGGCCATCTGTGTTCAGATATTCTGTTTTTGAGGGTTCCTGAGGTCTTACCTATGCAGGCAAGTCCACAGGGACATTTGAGCATGTAGATAATATTATGAGTCTTACAGGAAATGAAACCTCTGACAGAAAACTTTTTGCCGGAGCATGGGTGATGAAAGGTGCTGGTTTTCCTCGTGAAATTGCATTGTTGGCAGTTGCCACACTTATAGTTGCCGGGTGGCACGGGGCCCAGAAAGGTCAAGGTGGGAGGGGGACTGGGACAATCCGCTCTCACTAACATGTTCTTGAGATTAGGAGGTCTTTTGTAGACGATGCAGGGTGGATTGTCCATGAGCCCTCTCAGAGCTGGGTCAGTGGCTACCACATGCCAATGTTTGTTGATGATAGAAGACGTATCTTGTGCCAGAGGGGAATATTGAAAAGAACAAGTGATACGTTTGTCAACATTTTTAGTTCTGGTTGTGTACAGGCACTCAGTTTGTGTGAGGTTAGAAAAACGAGCAGAGGCTTGAGTCACCCACAATTTTCGATACCCTCTTTGTAAAAACCTGTGTTCAATTTCCACCTTTTGTTTGTCAAAGTCAGTATCTGAGCTGCATATGTGGCGTATGCGGTTCAGTTGGGCCACAGGAAGGCTCCTTTTCAGATGGGTGGGGTGCTACGACTGTCCATGTAACAGTGAATTTCTATCAGTAGGTTTTCTATACAGAGTAGTGCTGAGGCCGTCACTGTTGTTAACAATCAATATGTCCAAAAAGTTCATTTTAAAAGGGTCATGAGCCACTGTGAACCTCAAATGTGTATTCTGTGTGTTAATGAAGTTGTAGAAGTCTTTCAGTTTGTCTTCTTTAGAAGTCCAGATGAAGAAGATGTCATCAATGTACCTCTTGTATGTGGTGATGTATGGCAGGAACGGATTCTTGGAGGGATTCAACACCACCTCCTGTTCGAACAGTCCGACATACAGGGACACAAAACTCGGGGACATCTCAGACCCCATACTGACTCCAGACACCTGTAAAAAGAAATACTTGTCAAACATAAAATAGTTTGTGGTCAGCACAGTCTCTAACAGCTTTAATATGCATGAGGCACTAGGTGTGAGCTGTTGAGTCGAGTTCATCTCTCGATGAAGAAGAAAATGTTCAGCTGCCCTCAGTCCGCCTTGTATAGGCACATTTGTATGTAAAGATTCAATGTCCATGGTCACCAGCAGCTGTTGACTGTGGCTGTGTTGTACATTTTTTATCATTTTAATAAATTCAGTGGAATCTTTTATGTAGGAGGTCAGAGAAGCTACACAGGATTGAAGAAAAAAGTCCACAAAGGCAGATATTTTTTCTGTGAGGGAGCCAATTGCAGCCACGATCAGTCTCCCAGGAGGAGTGTCACTGTATGGTTTATGTATCTTAGGTAAAGTGTAGAAAACCGGTATCACAGGTGAGTGAACCAACATGTTTAGTGATGTCTCCTTTGGTTAGGAGTTCATTGAGACATCCATGGACTCTGGTTATGAATTCATTAGTTGGGTTTATAGGAAGCTTCCGATAGAAAGTGTCATTAACAAGTTGCTTCATCACTTCCTGGTTGTACATATCTCTGTCTAATATCACCAGGGCACCCCCTTTGTCCGCACTTTGAATAACAATGGGCTTATCATTTTTTAGAGTGTCCAGTTCAATGCGTTGTAGTCCTGACAGGTTATGTATAACTTTGTATTGTCTCTTTTGTCCCAGTAACTTAGATATATCTCTATATATCTATGTGTCAACTGAAGAGTTTCTGTGTTGTGATGGAATGAAAGTTGATTTACCTCTAAAATGAGTACGAAATCTAGTGGGGGAGTTAGAGGTGGTTTCCTGGTCCTTCACAGTCCCTGTGTCGCTGGTGGGGCCCGTCCCGTGGGTGTTAGTAGAGCTGTTAACATAGGGAGAGTGGTCCCCCGATGGTTCTTGAAGAACTCCTTAAGGCGTAGGTTACGGAAAAACCTCTGGACATCAACAAATACATCAAAGTCTTTACAGTGGGTTGTGGGACAAAAAGAAAGGCCCTTACTCAGGGCAGAAATACAAGTGTCTGTGATGGGCTTACTTGATAGATTGAGTGTGTTGTAGGGCTCTCTCGGGGCGTTTCTGCCCCCTCCTGCATTTCTTCCCCCGCAATGAGCGTGGCTGTTGAAAGAGTGCTCCTGTGTGTGGTGGGTTCTTCCTAAAAAAAGGCTCATGTTGTGATGAGCTGGAACCTGAACGAGAAATCTCATCTGGAGCGGTATTTTGCTGGGTCCTGTTGCTTGCAGCTCAACGCTGATTGGCTGCCGTAATCCCGGAATCCCGGGGGGGCGCTTGACTGTCATGACATGTCAGCTTCATTAAAAGTATAGCTGCAAATTAAAAGCAACAATAGATGTAAAAACACACAGAGACAATGCATCTGTGATCAGTTCCCTAATTTAATTTTAACAATTTTTTCAATCTTCTCCAATTTCTCATTTTATTTTATGGAAGTGATCAATGGGGGCGGCGCGGTGGTGTGGTGGTTAGCACTCTCACCTCACAGCAAGAGGGTTGCCGGTTCGATCCCGGGTGTGGGAGCCCCGCTGTGCAGAGTTTGCATGTTCTCCCCGTGTCAGCGTGGGTTTTCTCTGGGCACTCCGGCTTCCTCCCACAGTCCAAAGACATGCAGATTGGGGACTAGGTCTGTAGGTGTGAATGTGAGCGTGAATGGTTGTTTGTCTCTATGTGTCAGATAGTCTGGCAAGCTGTCCAGGGTGTACCCTGCCTCTCGATAGGCTCCAGCCCCCCCGCGACCCTCAAGAGGATGAAGCAGTTAGAAGATGAATGAATGAAGTGATCAATGTAAGTGCACTTGTCCTAGAGCCGTTTTTATAATACAAATAACTCTGTTTAGATAAAACCTACAAGCTTCTCTTCCTATGATTTTTCCTAAAATCGTGTCTTGTATGTTTTCTGAAGCCTTTAAGTTACAAAAATGAAACACACTAGACTTCTGAGCATTTATACCTCCGACCGAAATTATACATTTTGATACATACAAGTAGGCTATATATATTTCCAAATATTTATTTGAAAACTAAACCATTTATACTGTCAATAAAAAAACATTTTGTTAATAATAAAAAACGAATGTAATCTCAACAGTGACCGCGCCAGCCGGTGGGACTGCGGCGCTTGGAAGGGCGCTGTAATCCTGGCGGTCCTAGTGTAAAGCACCACGGACAGCGCCAATGCATCTATCGCTGATGCCTGAGTCAGAGCATGTGAGCAGAGCTGGAGCTGGAGCTGCCTCAACCATAGGTTATTGGTAGGAAGAAAAATGGCTGCTGAAAAAACTGTCACTGTCAGCTGCCTCCAAGCGCCGCAACAGTCTGCCAGACCATCATATGTAACTTAATTGTTTATTCTGCCTGTGTGCTCAGAAGCACACAGTGAATGCATTTTTGAGTAATTTCCGAGAAGTTATGATAAAATAAAAAAAATATTACAGACTATAGAATAGGACTGACAACCTCTCCAATGTCTCATGTCAATTAATTAACACTATTTGTCGGCTTTTTAAAATGCCTTTTTTTTTTTGTTTGTTTTTGCTGCTGCACTGTGTCTCCAGTTGAAAGTGGCGATTTGCTAAATACAATAATAAATTAGATTAACTTTTGGTCTATAATATTGTTGGCTATATTACGCATTTTAATGAAAAATACTTAAGAACTAAAAGAAATAAACATCGAAATAATTAGTGGAAACTTTTTTTTATTGATACTCCACCTCTCTGACATACTAACAACACACACACACAGACACTTAGACAGAGAGGGTGCACCCCCTGTGTGTGTGTGTGTGTGTGTGGGAGGGATAGACAGAAAAAGAGAGACAGAGAAAAAGAGATAACATTAAAGGAAAAAAAGAGAAAAATAAAAAGAGAGAGGAAAAGAGAGAGAGAGAGGAAAAGAGAGAAAAAGAGAGAGAAGAGAAGAGAGAGACATACGAAACAGACTATTGCAGATCAATTAGGCTACAAAGAGAAAAATTTACATTGTACTTTTGATTTGTCTGGCCAGGGTCCTAGTGTGTTCCCATCTTTATGCAGTCAGTGAAGTGAAAACCAGAGCTGCATCTCTCAGGACCCAGTATGGTGAACTTGGTATGGTAAACAGAAGCCACTAACACCAAAACAAAGATGGATCCTGGCACACTTGGAGCTTTTAAAGCCCCATATGACGCACAGAGCAATGGAATCGACCTTGAGAGTAAGTGTTTTCGAGCATGTGCAATCCGAAAGGCACAGTTCACCAAAAAATTAACATTCTGTCATGATCTATTCACACTCATGGATTGAAGGATGGATTAAGTTTTTTAGTTCACAAAACACTGCCGGTGTTTCAGAGGAAAGGGGTTTGCAGTTATTGCCCTAACAATTGAAGCAAATGGTGACCAGGATTCAGATTTAATTAAAATACATAATATGACCATATAATTCCTCCACAGAGCTCATAACAAAGTAATCCAGGTGTCCTAAAGCCCTGACATGCACTGCTGTATTAATAACATCACTGACGCCATGTTTTTAGCCTTACTTGTATGCCATGTTTGATCATGTGTGAACATGGCTCCCATATAAAAAGCCACTGGCTACAGTACACATTAAGGTTAAAAACATAGTGTTTCTGACATTTTCCAAAACAGGACACTTGGATAATTACTTTGTATGAGTTATGTGGGGGCACGATTTTATTATACATTTTATTTTGGTTTGAAACAATGTCACCATTTCATTCAAATATTTGGGGGATAACTGCAAACTGTTTTCCTCTGAAACACCAACAGTGAATTGTGAGCTAAAAAACTTCACCCATCCTTCCACTTCCATGAGTGTGAGTAGATGGCTGAACTTTAATTTTTGGGTGAACTGTCTGTCACTTTCAGTTGTGTTGAAAAGATTTTGATCTCAACAAAAAGGTCTAGTTGGCATCCCTTCTGTTATCTTATTTTTTTCTGCATGTCTTTACCTGTGCTGTTTACTACAGCTTGACGTTGAGGACTCTGAGGACATTGATGAGACAGAGGAGGGGCAAATGGAAGACAAAGATGTGGTGCTTGACATGTCAACTGACAACAATGAAATGTCCCATATGCTCTCCCTTCCATCAACCTCTGCTCAGTCCTCTAGAAGTTCAGTCTCTGCCACTGTAGAGGGGGAAACATCTTCAACTGAATTAGCATCACGTCATGATGAGACCCCCAAAAGACCACGCTTTAGCAAAACAGAAGGGAAAGTCCTCTGATGCTAACAATATTGAGTTAGCAAAGTTAACTTTGTTAACACAGGTTCATAATACTCTGTCTTCTACAACTAATGACAGTGAGGAGGTATTTGGTCAACAAGTTGCAAATGAGCTAAGAAGCATTAAAGATCGAGTGCTTCAGTTAAGAGTTAGGAGAAATATTATGAACATACTGTATGATGCCCTAGAGGCAGAGCAGGCCCGGGAACACGCAACCCTCAGTCAGTACCAACCAGGAGGAGTACCATTTATAGGGTCCCAGTCAACTCAGGGAAGGTATGACCGTTACACAGCAAGGTACACTGGCTAAAATCAAACCACTCTCACTCTTAAAAGTTATAGTGCAATAACTATTACATATTAAATTAATGTCAAACAGTGTTCGCTACATTCAAGCCATTGCCAAATGAGTTGACATGATCATTGCTCACTCTTATTCAAAGCATGTCACACTACAGATCTGTGACAGAAACAAGAAATACATTTACTAAATGAAATAATAAATTACATCCTGTAACCAGTGAGGCAGGAAAATTGAGAGACAGATAACAAGCTACACATCTAACCTGTCTGCGTTTATGCATCAGATACACAGAAAATACAATGGATGTTTTGAAATGAAATGAAATGAAATATAAAAAATAACAAAGGGTGGATTTCAACTGTTTAACACATAACCATGTTTCTCAGCCAGCTTACGCTAAAATGCTACACTCAAACAATAAATGTTTTTTTATCGATTTGTTTAGTAAACAGTTTTGCCTTGCTACAGCCCCCTCAGCACCCCTACTTCCTGCATCCCTGATTTTAAGCCTACACCATGCCCTCCTGCCATGAAACACTTCCTGCAGGTGACACAAAGTATTGGCATAGTCTGTCTTGTTGCCCCTTCGCTTCAACAGAGGGATTTCTTGCTCTTCCCACTGGTGCAGGCTGTAGTATGCCCTCTCTCCTCCATGCACCTTCAATCAGCTGATGGTTGGCATCTTCTGAATCCACATAGGCAGGTGGCAAGTAGGCATCAGATCTTCTGTCACGTAAGAAGTTGTGCAGGCACAGACATGCAAAGATGATGTTCATGACCTTGTCTGGATCCAGGGAAATAGTTGTTCTGAAAACTCTGAAGCGATTGGCTAATATTCCAAAGGCATTTTCCACTACTCGTCGAGCCCGAGACAGACGGTAATTGAAGAGCCTCTGACTCCTGTTCAGGTTTCAGAAGGGGTAAGGCTTCATGAGATCTGCTCTGAGTGGATAGGCCTCATCTCCAATGAACATGTAGGGCATCAAGATATCAGTGTTGGGCAGTGTGTCATCAGGGGGGACATGAAGGAGGCCTTTGTCCATTGCGGCTCCCAAGTCTGATTGTGCAAACACGCTAGCGTCTGACACTCTGCCCTGGGTTCCTGCACTTGCATAAACAAACTTATAATTTGCATCAACTACAGCCATGAGTATGATGGAAAACCGGGACTTGTAGTTGTAATACACACTTCTACTGTTGGCAGGAGGTTGAATGAAAACGTGTTTCCCGTCCACTGCACCCAGGCAGTGTGGAAACTGCCACTTGTCATGGAAGTCTTTGGCAATGGCTTTCCACTCTGGCTCAAGAAATGTTAACAATGACTTCTATATGCACAAAAACAAAACAAATTCAGACAATCATATATTATTGAGTAGGATGTCATTGATAGCATGGTTAGTTGACATTTTACACCATACCATCACACCCTTCGGTAAAGTTAAAAAAGGTGTGATTAAAAATATTCAATAGTGAAAGCATAATTCTTGTGTATTGTGCTTAAAGAAATCATCACAGATCATGTGACGTACAGTTAGGGCCGTAAGTGTTTCTGACTGTGTTACCTTCAGGAAATCCTCGCATAGCACAGAAGTTAGGGCTGCACAGGTCTCCATAACAATCCTGCTCAGAGTTGTGCTTCCAATCTGATATTGGAAATTCAATGAGTTGAATATTTCACCTGTCAAAGTGAATACAGATTCTTAAATGACAATTCAGGCAAAGTGGAATAATAGTGAGCAGAGACATACACTGTATATGGGAAATTAGTTTGTTTACATTAAATGACACATGAAAATGGCATCATTCTAATATACAATTTTGTTATTCTTCATCAATCAAAATGTTACTGATTTGTTGGTGCTGGTTGCTTTCTTCTTGAACTTAATGATACATGAAAAAATGTAGCATCAGGTTTCTCTTAGTTTCTCCAGTAATTCATTCAATTCCATCTTTTCAAAAAAAAAAGTCCACTCTCATTGGGTTTCCACCACAAAATCTTATTACTGTCTTAATGCATGAAAACTGCATATTTATTGCTGATGGCATCATAAAAACAAGAGAATTATAGATGTCACATACTACATCAATTATTTCTATGATTTGTACACCCTATATTATTGTACATTATACAACAGTTAGTTCCGGCCCTGCAATCTGATTGGTCGAGAGACAGTAAAACTGTGACGATATTGGAGTACAACATCACGGTTATTTCACTGTGTATATTTCACTCCGCCTCACAGCTGATTGCAATCAACAATCAAATCAAAACTGACGGTTAGTGTCAGTTAGGTCAGCAGTTGCATTGCATCCCTGGAAAAGTATTTAAACAAACTTCCACCAGATGCAAATGCCCTTTATCTGAAGCCCAGGATGACAGCAGCTCACACAGACAATATCTGGTACACTAAAGCTCCGCTGGGAATAAACTCACTCGCACAGATGCTGCCGAAGATACACCAATCACAGCCTCAGGGCGACTGCCATACAGAAGCTGTCAGATGCGGGTCTTGAAGCTAGGGAGATCATGACAGTGAGTGGGCACAGGTATGATGTTGTTTTAACCTAGCCTATGTGTAAAGTTAGTCTTCTAATTAGGAGTCGGGCGTTAAAATATACCTTTTGTCTTGCAGGTCTGAGAGCTTGTTAAAAAGCTACTGGAAGCTATCCATGGAGAGCTTCTGAGAGCTTGTTAAAAAGCTACTGGAAGCTATCCATGGAGAGCAGAAAACGATGGAGCAACATACTCTCAGATCAGAGGGCAGAGTCGGCTGTGCCTGTGAAGCGACAGTCCACCATGCAGTCACCAGAGACTTATTTCACTGGCTGCACAATTAATGGAAATGTGCAGATAAATGTGTATAAAGAGTAAGTGCCTGGCGCACCATGTCTGCGTTACATAGCAGCGGTGACAGCGGAGTCCTGAGGGAACTATTTTTGTTGGCGGAAGACAAATAAAATGCTTAAATTATCTATTTTGTCCTCATTTTTCAACATTTCTTAATCAGCCTTGCTTATTTAACTGTTGAACTCTTGTATAAAAGCAATATCACACAAGAGGGAGTGATGTTATACTCGTATATCATCATGGCTGTGAGTTGGTCATAGGCACGAGGCCACAGGCCGAATGCTGAAGACAATCACAGATGTGACGATATACGAGTATAACATCACTCCCTCTTGTGTGATATTGCTTAATTGTCCAGCCATACTATCAAGATTTGTGTGTACTGTAGACTGACCTGTAGCCAGGAACTGTAATGTCACAGAGAGCCTGTCCTTTGGGCTAATGGCTTTTCTTAGATGGCCGTCCTGCTTCAGGATGATAGGTGTTACTCTGTCCAGAAGGTGACTGAAGTCCTCCACAGACATTCTTAGAAGGTTGCGAAATCCCTTCATATCGTCCACCTACATACATACATACATACATACATAAAAATAGACAGGGTTCAAAATTAAAACATAATTTCAGAAGCTTGGTGACATGATTAAGCTGACAAGATCAATTTTGCTTTGAGTGTAAGGTACTGATGTGATGTTAAGGCATGTTTGGCGGTAACATATGTCAGTGTGTTTTTGTTTTTGTTTATCTTTGTTTTGCTGATAATATCATAAAGCAAAGTTATAATGTTTATTGATGTGCGCACATACAGTATGGCTAGGCTACAATTTGACAATAATAACAAGAGTTGTAACATGAAAGGAAAACAGAAATAAATTCATTCTGTCTCAACACTCGTACACAATATAGAAACCTAACTATCAAGTTCATACAATGCAACTATTCTTTCTTTAAACATTTTTTTAAACTGAAATATGTTCAAACAGCCCTTTAAATCACTCTGTAAGGAATTCCACAGCTTAACCCCAGCTACAGAAATACACATCTGCTTTAAAGTTGTTCGTGCAAACTGGTGCTTAAATCTATTGCGTGTGGCTGGTAAAACTTTAACATTTACTGGCCACTAATTGGTGGACAGAAAGTTAATTATGTCCCCTGATTAAAACAAATGTTTGTGATATGAAGTCAAAACGTAGAAAGTAAGATTTGGGGCTAAGAGCTACCGCACAACAGGGAACATTAGCGTACGGTTGTTATCAAGCTAACAGTAAAGTAACGGCCGGCTTACCTCCAACTCTCGTTGTAAAATAGACAAACCATACTGTCCACGTCTCTCAAGCCATCTGCGAGTCCATATGCGCCGACGCCTCTTCTTTTTGGACATTTCGGCACACAGTATAGCGCAAATCACCAAAGCAAACCGCTTGTCCTGGTTCGTTGGCAACATCGGCACTTCCGGAACAAATCTGAGCTTTCAAATGTATCTTTATTGACAGCTGTCAACGGGCAGGACAGTCAGCAGGGGCCAACGAGCCGTTTTCACCCGTACAGTGTGAGCTCTCTGATCGTGCTTGATGATCGGAACATACAGTGTGAGCACATAAATCGTGAGCTTTGGCCGCACATCGTAGATGATTCACTCGTACAGTGTGAGCTGGTATTAACAACAAGATTTTAAAAATCGTACAGTGTATGCTGGGCTTTACTGCTGCTGTGCGGATTAGTCACTTTCAGTTAATGAATGTAGGGTTGACCCTGAATAGTCGATGATTCGGTGATTCGATTCGGAGAAGTCTGATTCGACTGCCAGTCTTGCCGTCGAATCGTCGCAAAATGTGGTTATGAAACAAGACCGTACCATTCTGACTATATGGGGGTGCTCACTGCTGCTGAACATCTTGATTTGACATTGAATGTATTTGTTTTCTAGTAATTCATGATATATAGCCTATTTTGATACAAACATCAGCCTACTTTCTGTTAATAAAAAATTGAAAATGACACGTGCGTTTAATCAGTAGGCATAATCATTACTACGCATGAATAAATCACCCAGTTGCTCAATCCAAATAAAATGAGGTGAGTGAGTGCGCTGCAGGATCATCAGAGCAGCATTGAGGCCTACGGTGATTTAAAGTTAAAGTTAAAGTCCCACAGATTGTCACACACCTGAGTGTGTGAAATTTGTTCTCCGCATTTGACCCATCCCCTGAGGGAGCGATGAGCAGCGGTGGTGCCGCGCTCGGGAATCAAGTGGTGATGATTTACGGTGGCGGAGCGCATAATCAAACACTTAGGAGGAGGTATGTGCTCTCAAATCAAACTTTTTTGAAGGATTATTCGTTTACCTTTAGTGTCTTGAAACAAATTTCACCACTGATTGTTTTCTTGATAGACTCTGATTTTTTAATTTATTTATTCATTATCATTAGTCTGTCTGACCAGTGCGGCCGGGAGTGTGGCCGGGAGTGGGGATTCAGCACCACAGACAGCGTGCGTAAAAAGACTTGACAAGCGTGTCCTTTTAAATGTGTTTGCTGCTAGCGAATTTATACATAATAAATGAAGACAGTGACATATTTTCAATAAAAAACACTGAGTTGAATGTTCATTTCAAGCTTTTGTAGTAGAACGAATTTCAGAATTGTGCGAATGTGGTCGGAGAGTGGGCGGCAGTGTTTGATGCAGGAAACTCGATATGGACTTGAAAATCAGTTTGGTGAATGTGCTAGGAAAGGTAGTATCAGCAATGCCTCTACCTGGAGCTTGCATGTACAGAGCCTGGGTTTGGTTGAAGGTGGCGGTGCTGTTTGGGCTGAGAAAGCCATGTGTAAGTAAGGTAAAGGAGGTTATTGGGTTGGTGCGGGGAGCAGTGAGACCTGGCATTAGGGGAGTGTCTCTGGGACAACAGAGATCACTGTCTAGCCTCCTGGAGGTGTCGTGGGACTAACTAGACGAAACACCGGTGAAAGGAGGTTCCCACCCGATGACCCCAAAGACATGTTAGTTATCACTGCTCACGGGTCTGTGTAGTTAAGCCTTGCCATAATAGCTTATCGTAGGGCTTAGGAGGATTATTCACTGAGTGCTGATCCCTTTTTTTTTTTTATTAGAGCACAAACTTCTTGTGTTTATTTGAATTTGGAGTGGGGGTGGTTCGGAACGGCGGTGTTTTGGAATGGGGGGCTGTCCCCGGCTGGGCAGCACGTCTGCGCCCATCTAGAGCATCATACCATGATGAAGTGAAAGAAATAAAGATAAAGATAAAATGATAACCCTTTTTCTTTTACTATTATTATCTTATTATGCTAACTGAAGAATTAAATTTGTTGATTTGGGTGTTTTAGCTCTTTTCTCTGGAGCGGAAACTGACGCAAATGAGCTCATTAATCAATGAGGGGGAAATCTCTTGAGAATGATTCAGAGTGATAGAGACATTGTGTCTTGAGTGATGTTGCTCTTGGGTTTTTATCATAAAAATGTTCATGCACCACAACCTAAATTCATGTCCTTTGTCTTGGGATCTTATCTGAGGACAGATGAGATTACCTGTACGTGCCATGTGATTAGAGGACAAAACTGTTCGCTGTGCAAAAACATGTCGCTATCATTGAAAGAGACATTTTACCACTATGAGATAAAAATATTCAATCAATCTGTGGGGACACAGTTAAAGACTAAAGATTAACTTTGCTTTGCTGTAAACAAATTTTTCTTTTTAAATTCATCCTGGATTCACCATGGATTGGGTGTAAATATGACATGAACATTTGTGTACATTACCATTAAGGAGATTTTCATATATCCTCTTTATTGTGACAAGGGCATCCTTAGTGTCCTCTGTGTTCATTTGCCATGGACAGAGGCACTCTGCCACAGAGCCGTGGTTCTCCTTGCAAGGAGGAGGACTGGATGTCGCTCTAAAAGTTCCCATTTGTGGAGCTGGAACAAAGTTGACACAAAATCATAAGACTGAAAATTAGAAACATATCAAGTCAGACTAATGCAGAAAATGTGTGTGTTATGCTTTGGTAGAAGGCTATACAGTGAGAGTCAGAGTGAACTAACAATTTCTGAGTAGCAATGTCAATAATGTCTTAAGCAAATAACGAAACACACTTAAATGCTATTCAAATTCAGTGAGGGACAAGAGAAAGATGCTTCTGTGTATCCATACATGTGAAAGCACTGCTACTACTACAAACTATATCAGAATCAGAAACTGTCAGATGTGGACATGGAACAACCTCACAATTACATTTCTAAAATGAAAATGTTCTTTTTCTGATCTATATTTATGGTCAACTAGATTGCTTTCCAGTTATTGTGGATACTACAGTATTTTTTTTATTCTTTCCCAAGTCTTTACTGTTTTGATTTTTTGTTATGTTTGCATAGTCAACTGTGGTCAAATCTGTGTGGTGTGTTACTTTGCATACAAAGACTATTTCTGATTTTCTTTGTCTGAAAATGATCTGATAAGGATTCATCTCATATCATTAAGTGTTATTAAGACACTAGTTTAATCTGTCCCCTCTCTGCTCTCTCTCACTGTTATCAGTACATATTTTTTGGGAAAAAGGAGTCCTTTTTACTCAGAGATCACGTAATAACACTGCAACTAAGCCACCTCTTTACACCACCTTTATTTATTTACACTGAACTAGGTCAGATCGGCAGAATACCACCTCAATATGTGATTTTAGATGGTGGTGGAATCAAACAGGTGATGCTGGGCTCAGAGAGACAGGAGGCAAGGTGTGAGCAGCAGCCTGACTACTCACAGGTGCATTTCTCCGCGCCGCTTAACAAGTGATTCTGCTCCTCTGCTCTTTTCTAATGACAGGTAGAGCTGATCTTTATAATAACCTCATGAATTTATAACGTAAATCTTTTCGTGTGTTCCTGGATAAGCGGAACATCTCTTCTTGGGGGGAGGCAGCATGCCAGCTCCACCTTTTACACAGAAGTGACACCCACAGCGTACTGGTTCTGTTGGTTCTGGTGCCGGCACAGAGGAGGAACAACATTGACCCTCCCCCACCATCCCATTTAGCGATTGTACTATTTATACCGGGGGTCTGCAACCTTTGCCATTAAAAGAGCCATTTTTGACCAAAAATAATTGGAAAAAATCTGTGTGGAGCCGCAAAACATGTTTGAGCCTTATAATCAAGGTAAATAGCTAAATTAGCGTATACTTATGGTCTAAATAAGCATTTGTTAATATGTTTTACCACAAGGTGGACACTGTGCAGGGCACTATTAATAATTATCTGGTACTTAAATTTTGCAGAGCTGGCAGTGAGAGCAAACAAATCTGTCCACGCACTACTACATTCTCTATTTTATTCAGTTTACTTTTTTGGGTTTGGCATCCATAGCTAACCAGCCACTGCTATCCAGGTTCAGCAACATTTGGATTCATAGAATGAATTTCCATAGATAATTCTTGTATCAAAGGCTCAACGAGCCACTGGACAGGGGCTAAAGAGCCACATGTGGCTCTGGAGCCACAGATTGCCTACCCCTGGTTTATACAGAATAACGGCGTAATAGTCCCGCTTTGAACAAGCTGTGGAAAAGGTGCTTGTGTTTGGTACTTTTTATGTTGATTCAGTTGAAAGTAAAAAACATAAGAAAAACAGAGGGCTGGGGTGCCTAAAACCAAAGTCAAAGTTGAAAGCACTTCTTCAGTGTGCACACTGAGGAATGCATAACTGAAAAAATAATAATTTGGTTAAAAATTAATATTCTATTAATACAGGGTGTGCAAATCTTTTTAAGCTATGTTCATTTAGTGAAGAATTACTGTCATATTAATATTTCAAATCACATTTTTAGCCAACAGTTAATGCTCTTCCTTCACTGAATTCAAATGTGGTATTACGGAAACATAATGTAGCTTATGACGTATTAAGTACATTGAGAACTCAGGATTTCATGCACAATGAAAGACAAATGTAACGCAGGAGTGTTAAAAAGTTAAAATGATTAAAATGGTGTATGTGAAATTTAAAATCAGGCGAGAGAACAGTTGTTTAAAACCAAGAAACCACAGATGCATTAACAGATGTACACTGATATTTATTCCCAGAATAAAATCAGGTTAAAACCAGAGGTGAAAGTCCATAAAAAATGGCGGGGACGGTCACCGAAGAAAAGAGAGCCACACGTCCTTTATTCGGTCCCTGGTCTCCTGGCTCCGCCACTCTGCACCGTCGTCCTCTTCTGGCACGGTCTCGAGCTATCGGAGGCAAGACGGCAGTCACTGCACTTTTACACAAACAGCTATCGTGAGTCGCACTTTATCATTCCAGACCGCTACTCACACAGAAGGGCAGAGTTTCACTCTGCCCGCCTCTTCATAGAACCTGCCGTCAACTAGCCACCTAGCTCCTCCGTCCACTGGGTGCTCTGGCGTGGGTCCTGCGGTTGGTGTTCTTCCTAGTTAGACTCGCCGCTTCCTTCTCCTTCGCCTGCTCCTTCGCCTGCTCCGTGCGTCTCGTCTCTCTTGCAGCTTTCTCCGCTCGCCTTCTTAAAATCCTGGCAGTCTCTCAGGTGCGGTGATTGGGTTTAGGGGTGTCACAACTAGGATAAGGTTTTCAGAATAAAAGCACACACTCCCAGGATAAATGTTAGAATGCTGAAAAGGTCAGTGAAGTAACAGCAATATAGCAATGTGCATGTAAAGATCAGAGATTCTTTTACTTAGTATTCTATGACAACAATCTGAAAGAAAAAAATCTTACCAATAGATTTGTTGCATCATGAACTTTGTTGATGCTGCAGTCCTTCTTTTGCCGCTCTTTCCAGTCCTGGGTAATCTTTTCTTTCTGTCTCTCCACCTTATCTTTATATGGTTGCTTGCCACCACAGTGCTGG